CAGCAAGCCGGCGCTTCAGCTGGCTCCTTGGCAAGGCTCATCCCACCCGCAGAAAGATGAGACACCCAACCGCAGCCCAGGGAGCCCGACTTCAGGCAGAGCGGAGGTGCACAGAGCTCTTGTGTGCCCCCCGGCCGCTCACCTGCCCAAGGACAGCGTCCCGGAGCAGCGCTCTTCTGTCTCCTCCATTCTCCTCTTTTTCTTCTTCCTCTTGAGGGGGGAGATGGGCTCCGTGTCCAGGTAAGTACTGGGCTCTGACACCTGCTGCTTGGGCCTGCTCTCCAGGTCCTGACAGCCCGGCACCTCCCTGCCACCGCTGGGACCTTTGCCTGCCGCCTCCTTCCCCGCGAGGGACACCGAGCCCTCCCGAGCGAGATTCTTCTTCTTCCGGGGGGGGCTGGAGACTTCATCCCTGCCCTTCACAGCCAGAGCATGAGGGCTGCTGTCTGCTCCATGATGCTGCTTTCGCCGCTTCTTTTTGGAGGAACCCGGGGTGACCTGGCTGGGCCCCTTCTCCCTGCTGCAGGGAGGAAGGTGGTGCGCAGGGTGGGCAGTGGAACCGTTGGTCAGGGGGGAGGCTGGGAGCCGAGGGGCTGAGTTGAGGATGAAGCTGAAGGCAGGCTTTTCAGGACTTGGCAGTTTGAGAGCAGATGAGGACAGCCTGAAGGACAGGAAAAGAAGCTGATGTGATCTGAAAGCCAGGTCAGGAGCGGGAGCCCCTCTCTTCCTCCCCACCCCAAGGTGCACGAGCACAGCACCCAACTGCTACCATCTCAGCCACGAAATCCGAATCGGACCCTGCTCTCAGAGCAGCAGCTGTGAGCACACAGTGACCCTGCACCTGCCCGGTGCCAGCCACGCGTGGGGCACGCGTTGTCCCACGGGGGATTAGGAAAGAGCGAGTGCTGCTGCAGCATGTGTTGGCGGTGAAGGTTACAAGGGAGACCCGGAGCAAGCCCTGCCAGCCCAGAACAGGAGAGCCAGCTGCCAAAAATCACCCCCCGAGCCAGCTGCCATGTCAGACAGTTGCCTCGTGGAGTACCCCAAGGCTGCTACTGGCCTTGCTGCCGTGCAGGAGCCTGGGAGCGACCGGCACCGCTTACCTCGACTTGCCGAAAGGCCAGGGAGTGGAGTCGGGGTGGGTGGTGTTCGTGGGGTAGGTGTGACCAGCAAATTGTGGGTGAGGTTGTGCGTGGCGGTCACTTCCGCTCGCCTTCCGCGGGGTGCTGCCCTGCAGTTATTGACATAAATAAAAACTTGGTGGTCTAAAGAAAAGAGGTTTCCGTGAGCCAAGAGGAGAAAATAAAAAGGGGAGCCCAGAGAAAGGGGAGGGGAACAGACACAGACGGGGGGAGGGAAGTGAGGGGTGGTAGAAGAAGAATCAGAAGTGTTTTCAGTTAGAAGCACAAAGGAAAAAAGGAAGGAAGGAAGTTTAAAGAACAGAAACCCCAGCGCACCGTCCCGAGCCCCGGCTGCGCAGCGGCACCCAGAGGGCCGGTCCCATGCTGCTGCCCGGGGAGGAGGCAGCTCCGCAGCCCTCCAGCTGCAGTGTCACCTCCAGCTCCCGCTCGCCCCAGGGGACACACTACCCCGAGAAGGCTGGCGAGGCTGCCCCGCTGCAGGGACTGGCACAGCCACCCCTCCGTCCTGAGCAGGAAGGCAGGAGCCGTTTCTCCTGCATCACTCAGGGATGCGAACAACAGCAGGGGCCTGGCCCCGCACCCCGACCCAGAGGGAGGGCAGAGCAATCGCTACAGCCCTGGGGCTGAGGGGCTCTCCCTGCCCGCCTCCGGCTTTGCAAGATACCCAGCATTAGCTCTACGCTCACCCCCAGCACAAGCCCCAGTTCAGAAGGCACAAGGTGCCTACTGAAGTCTCCGGGCAGAAGCTCAGACTCACCTTTTTGGCGGAGAGTGCCAGCTTCTTGGCCGGTGGCGGTGACATGGTACTGCTCAGCTCCAGAGCGGCGCTGGCCAACAAGGAGGATTTCAATTTTGCCGGCTTGGAGTCTTCGGGGGCAGCCGGCTCGGTGCCAGGGCCAGCAGGGAGGTCCGTGCCACAGTCCGTTTCCTGAGAGGTGCAGAAGCTGCCGGTTCCACTCTTGGCCTTCTGGGATGCTTTGGCCAGCTTCCCCACTGCACCGTGCGCTGGGCTGGCAGCACTGCTGCCACAGGAGTCCCTCTCCAGGGTCCCGGCGTTCTCCCCACTGCCCCCAGGCTCCTGGCTGGGGCTGGGCTCCAGCAGCAGCTTGGGTGAGGTAGGTGGCTGCTTGCTCTCCCAGGAGTTCTGCCGGGGCAGCTCCGCTTTGGCCCCACTTGCATTGCTGGTGTCACAGAAGCCCTGAACTGCTCTGGGCACGGGAGGCAGCTGCGGGAAGGAGAGCTGCTTCTTGGGCCTCCGGGCTGCATCATCGGGCAGCGCTGTGGCCACATGGGTGGCTTTGAGGGGCAGTTTGGGTGACAGGGACCCAGCGGGCAGCTTCGGCGGAGCGGTTCCATTCGGCAGCTTTGGGACCGTCCCGAATGTGCTGCGGGCCACAGGGACTCCGACTTCCTCCGGCCCTGGCAGCTTCTTCCCCGGCAGCACGTCTGGTCTCTAGAGAAAGAGAAAGACAGAAGTTCAGCAAGGGAAGAATTCAAGGACACAGAGCAATACTACCCTCCCTATCCTTCCCCAGGCCCACACAGGAACCCCTGGCTCAGCAGCATCCCTCCTGCAAACCGTCCCCCCTCGTGCCCGCCCATTCGGAGCAGTGTGCCCACCTCCCCACAAAGCTGCAGCCCACCTGCCCTCGCAGAGCGGAGGGCAGCAGCTCCCAGCTCCCGGGAGCACTGGCCGTGAGCAGCCTTCAGGACTCACCCGGCCCATCAGTGGTGAAGACAGGGGCCCGTTGGTCACAGTTTTCTTGACCTGATCGGAGACACTGCCAGTACGGGTGGGCAGACTGGAGGCAGCTTTGGCAATGGGCCCCTCCGAGCTCTTCCTGGGGCTGGGGATTCTGGTGAAGGCAGAGAAGCGCACACGTTAACTGCGAGAATTTGAGAGACTGGAACGCTCTCGTCAGAGATACACACGAGAAACAGGAGCCAGGAGCTCTGAGGAGGTGAGGTGCTCTTCATCTACAGCAAAACCCTGACAAGGGGCTGGACCTCTCCCTGCCACCCTCCTCCAAGCCAGCACATGTGCACGGACTTTGGGGCTACTTGGGCCAAGCTCCTTCCCACACCCAGGCACATGCTACCAGCCCTGTCCCAAATGCTGAGAGCAGGGGGCAGAGGGGCCGGGAGACACCGGGCGCTCCCACCTCAGGTAGAACAGCACGTAGGCCTGCTGGTTGAGGACCACTTTGATGTTGCTGGAGCGGACCAGGTCATCGTTCATTTGATACCACTGCCCGTTGCTGGCCTGCGGAAGAAGGGAGAACAGGATCTGGCTGTGTCCGGGGACCCTCCTGGTCTGAA